GGAGAGGAGAGGAGAGGAGAGGAGAGGAGAGGAGAGGAGAGGAGAGGAGAGAGAAAAGAGAAAAGAGAAGAGAAGAAGTAAATGGAGCAGAAAGGAAGGGGGATGCGGGGAGAGACAAGGCAAGGGTGAAAAACTGTCAGCAGAGCTGCTAACCTGGATTCTAGGAGAGCAGACCTTAGGCCACTCAAAGAACTAGTTGGTAAGGTCCCCTGGGATTTGGCTTTTGAGGCTACCTGTATTCATAGCTGTTGGTCGGTTCCTAAAAGCCATTTCTTAAGAGCACAAGAGCGGGCAACTGCAAAGCGTCACAAGTCAGCAAGAGGGTCAGAAGGCTGGTTTGGCTGACCGGGAATCTCCTTGGGCAACTTAGGCAGCAAATGAAAGTGTATGCGCCTTGGAAAGGGATCTGGGGGTTTGGATTGCACAACAAGAGTCAACACAATGCCCTGGAGACCAAAAGGGCCAGCCACCTCTTGGGGTGCCTTAGGCACAGCAAAGCTAGCCAGTTGACAGAAGGGACTGACCCCGCTACCCTCACCACTGGTGTGGCCTCGCCTCGAGTAGTGCCCGCAGCATTGGGCTCCATGGTATAAGCACGATAGAAAAACATTGGTATGTGTCCAGGGCAACAAAGAAGGCAAAAGGACCAGCAGGCATGTCCTTATGAGGCACGGCTGAGGATACTGGGTTTGTTCAGCTTAGAGGAGAGGAGACTGAGGGCTGACCTCATTGCTGTCTACAGCTGCCTCAGCACAGGGAGCGGAGAGGGAGGTGCTGATGTCTTCTCTCTGGGGTCCGGCATCAGGACGCGAAGGAATGGCTTAAAGCGGTGCCAAGGGAAGTTCAGACTGGGTATTAGGAACAAGCTCTTCAGTGAGAGGGTGGTCAAGCAGTGGAACGCGCTCCCCGCAGCCAACGGTCATTGCCCCAAGCCTGTTGATATTCAAAAAGCAATCGGACAATGCTCTTAGACACACGAGATGGAGTTGTGGTGAAGGGAATTCAATCTAGCTGGCAGCTGGTCACAAGTGGTGCTCCTCAGGGCTCAGTATTTGGGTCGATTCTCTTTAATATCTTTATCAATGATCTGGATCGGGGACTGAGTGCACGCTCAGTAGGTTTGCAGATTACGCCAAGTTGGGCAGCAGTGTTGATCTGCTTGAGAGTAGCAAGGCTCTGCAGAG